TGCGACGAGGGACCAATCAAAAGAGTTAATGCGCCTTGTATGATTATGGCGGAAAAGAGGTTTAAAACTTTACGACTGGCAATTAGTAATCATGACATGGGGTTTGAATACGATCCATTAAACAACAAAAAGGCCACATGCAACGTCAAACTCAAAGATAATACCAACGTTTTTAGACCAAAAGCTTCCCGTGATGTTGGGGTTAAGACAATGTTCTGTGTGAGGGGGAAAACAAGCAAGATCGCCGTGAGGTTGTGCCACGACGTTGCAAGTGTCAAAAAGGTTATTGTCAATGGCGAGGAGAAGAATGGCGAGGCGATGAATAAGTTCATAAACGTCCGTAGAAAAAGGCTTGTWTTTTCAAATCTGGTGAATGGATTTACCACTGAAGTTGTTCTAGAGTTGAAATAGCATATGTAAAAAAAAATCACAATAAAATATTGTCGATGTATTAAATATTTTGATGAGAACATTTATTTTATTTCGTTCAGACTTAACAATCAGGCTGTCAACTTTTATGGGACCTCATGCATGCTATCTGATGTATCTTTCCCGAAACTCCACAAAAGAGTTAACTATCTTTAAACTAATGTGAGCTGATACAGCGATTTTAATAAAACAGCGGTAATAAAATTATGCTAACCGAAAGAAGCCAAAATATACTTACTTTAGTCTCGGGACCGACGTTGCTTCTTCTTCGGAGTAAATTAACAAATAAAGTTAGTTGGATTATTTATAAGTAATAGCATGGCTCTGAGTGAGATTAGGGATTAAATGTCCCCGAAGCCGAGGGCAGATAAGTTGAAGTCCCGACGGCCGCAGGCCGGAGGCACTTTTACTTATCTGCCCGAGGCTGAGGGACATTTGATCCCTAATCTCCCGAGGAAGACATGCTATTACTTTTTGATACCATGATTTCCGAGGAAAAAATTGAAGTTGAACTTGAGTGAATTTGAATTCTTGTTTTTTTGTATGCTCCAATGTTATTATTTTTCTTGAATACTTAATGAACTATACTCCTATTTCATTTATTTCTAACTTTKAATTTGTTGATAGATATGAAATGTTCAATTTTCTTTGAAAATCTTTGAAGTAAAGAAAAAATCAATGAACATCAACCAGATTCGAACCCGCAACCTTTCCCTTACAAATCCTACTCCTAACACTGTATGCCCAGTGACTACCGATGTCAGAAACGGAACATAAAAGTAATTTAACTTTTTCTTGAGGCTCGTTACAGAAGACATTGTTAGCATTGGTCCCATAAGACTGACGAGARAAATAGTTATATGTTAATGGACCCTTTGTGAATTGCTAGTAAGTGRTTTTCCTTCCAAAACAATGAGAGTGTGTATTAAATGGGATAATGGCCTCGCTCCTCGGCTTATTGAAAATAATGACCTCGGGCTGCGCGCTCGATCATTATTTTCAATAAGCCTCGGAGCTCATCCATTATCCTATACATAATGGTGAGATATTCACACCAATCCCTTCCCTTTGCAGTATACTAGACAAATTTCAAATTCATGTAATAAAGATRTAAATTTATTATATTGACTTAGGGACCTTGCAATAACCAGGAGGGGGGCATTACATAAAATTGATGCCAAGATAGGGGGGGCTCAAAGTAAAATTACCTAATTAACAGAGGGGGGGCTTAAGTTTTATTCAAAATTTCTTAAATTCAACGTAAATAACAACCATAATTGTAGAAAATGACAAGAACAACTTTAACTGACAATTATATATATGATATTGATACTTATTTTTTCAGTTTTAAGAAGGTTTATCATCAACACTGATCATTTTTAATCTGCTAGCTAAAGCTTGTTAGGTTATCTTTTTTTAGGAAAAATCCAATATGAAACCGCGAAACGTACTAATGGAAATCTAAATTCAAAGACTCGTTGATGTGGGATTGAAATTGACCAAGATATTAATTTTTTTAACTATTGATTTTTTCAATATTATCACATAAATTGAAGATGTAGAAGCTGAAAAACATCTTGAACATTTATTAGCACAAGTAACACCAAAGTCGTTTTTGACCATAAAAACGTTACATAAGCCTTTTTTGTATTTCTAGTATAGAAGAGGGGTATGAGCTATTTTCTTATGCTTCGGAGGGGAGTTCTGGCTAATTTTCTGCTTGAGAAATCTGGTTTTACGCCCCCCTCTGGTAATTATTGCACAGTCCCTTAATTCTCGAGTCTCGAGCTATTTTAAACAAAGACTCTATTGTGAAATTGAAATACTTATAGCTTTTCCCGACTGTCCTTTGAAATTTAGGTCGAATTCGACCTGTGCGTCTAAAATCTATAAGAAGGCCTAGGAAAGTGATTTTACTCTGATGTCTCCAGTTCAAAGAAAACCGTRACTTGGAGACGTTGTCTTCGAAAAAATGCTTTCCACCTCTGATTTCTTCCGGAAAATTGTCTCTGCCGACCAGTCAACAAGCTTAATGATGCAAGCCAGGGGCTCCTGTGGCAGCAAAAAGCTCAAAAACACATAAACAGTTTTTTTAAGCAAATCAGAAAGGCTCAACCGCTCGAAAAACAAACGATCCGGACTAAATTTACAAAGGGTTACATAAATTAATCGAAACAATATAGAAAATTAGATTGGTTCGCTTCGGAACACTACGCAATTTTTATTTATTTATTTTTTATTGCACAGACTTATTGAAACATTATTGAAACATGTTAACACTCGCTTGAACGCTTGAACACTAATTACTGAAACAATCTTATTTTATTGTATTTACTTTATAGGTMATCTGGCATATTATTCATATTTTTGATCTTCAGATGGTCTTTATGGAAAAAAGAGAATGGACAATAAAAAAAAGAAGAAAACGGAAATGACTTTTTTATTTTTTTGCGTGTGTGTCTACATTATGTTTGTACAATTTCTATACTTAAATATTGGAGATTTTTGAATGGCTCTTTGCTCATGTAGCATTTTCTTGGTAGCCTCTCTTTTATGAAGCATTCATTCCTTTGATTTTATTGAGGTCGCGGAAAATACGTAATAAAAATTTCAGTAGTTAATCCATTTGTCAGTTTGGAAAAAACTACTTTCGTTATGTCCGAATCAAGCCTTGCATAAGACGATGCTGCAATTTTTCCATCAACCATCACTTTGTTTATTGATATTATGAGTTTGTCTTTCGGGATTTTGATATTTAGTGACACAGTGATATCGGCCGTAGACTTTCCCTTGGTACAGAATTTCATCTTCTCGCTCAATTGTTTGACATTTTTTGGGCTGAATATATCTTTGATATCATTTTTGTATTTCMGTTTRCACCTTGTGTCTTTTACCCCAGGGTCCATTTCAAAGTCAACATTGGGATTATTTATGGCCAAATAAAGCATTGTCGGCGTCCCTGCACTGATTTCTGCCATCATTAGGCATGACGCACTGACACTTAATACAGGACCGACAGACATTTGTCCTCCATTTTTATCAAAAACAGAATAGRCGTACACTTTGTTTGTTGGAGAAATATCAGGCAAGAGACTGAACTCAGCCATATGAAATTTTCCTCCTCCTGGAATTACTTTGTAGCTGTTAAGTAAGAGGGGATTTCCGTTTTTGACAAGAATTGCGTATTCATAGGAGTCACTACCTGTTGCAAGATCTTCCATCTTCTGCACATCAACTTTACGATTTGCCTTGCGTGCTCTAATTCTGCTAGGGACATCTTTTCTCTTCTTGGTCCGTTGTTCTTTTAGACACTTTAAGGGGCTGTTCATTTTAAGACATTTCTTTTGTGTATTCCTTCTTAAAGTAAGAAGTAGTTTGACATGTTTCTTCATTTTCGKGGTTTTCAAAGATTGGCTAGTGCTTAGTGTTAGCACTGCCTTCTTTGCCTTTGCATTAGTCGTTCCTATATTGTCTTTTAATATATTTCTGGTATTACGTTTCATGTTTGTTACAGAAGATTCATCGCCTAGTCCATCCATGCCAGTTTCATAAACCTGATCATCGTCGTCAACCTCATTATCACGGCTTACAGATTCTTGATCAAAATTCCCATTGTCGTCTTCATTCTCATAATATGTAGTATTTTCTACTTGTCCATTTCTATCGTTATCTTCATGAATAGCTGTTTCATTATTAAAGCTTTGGTCACTCTGATGATTGTCAGTATCTATTAAGTTACTTTTTGCCGAGTCRGCTGGATAATCTGGATCATTTTCGTCGTCGTCGTCGTCGTCGTCATCGTCCTTTTCATTACCTTTGTTCACATCATGGGACTTTTCATAAGATACATTTATACCATTAACATAAATATCCTCATCGGTTCCATCACTTTTTGTTACTTCGTCTTTCAGAAATCCTTTCTCACTTTTATGTTTAAACCAAGCAGTTGCGTACCTCGCTTTGGTAAGGGTGCTTCCATCCTGTGTTTTCGATATCTGGTCTGAAATTCTCACGTTCAGACCATATGCAGCTGGCGTTTTTATGACGTACTTATTTCCGTTGGTATCGATTAACTCTGCAACACCACCCCAAGTACTTTTGGTTTTAAGCAGAACTCTCAAATCTTTGGGCTTTGAATTGATATATATTCTACTAGATTTGAACGGATCAACAAGTTTGTCTTGAAAGAGGGTCGTTTGAGCGTAATAATGCTTAACATCAGTATTCTTAAATTTGATGTCGCTACCCACGCACAGTATCAAGTCTCCATAGAAAAAATAAGACTTTTTAAACTCAAATTGCGTTGCTTTGAGCGCCGATTCGTACTCTTTCATCCTATATTTAGGCTGCTTGAATGCCATTGCAAAAATACCATTTTTTGGTTTAAATCCAGTCGATCCTATGAAATCCAACCCACCCGCAAATCCATCTGGATTGTAGTTTCCTCCTTTTACGGTTGTAATGCGATTTAGCATTGTTGGTTTAAACGTAGTAGCACCCGGAACTCTCGACCAGTCCCAACCGTCATCGACGTCGTAGCTTTTGAGTGAACTTTCACTGTTTGAAATCTGGAGCGATCCGTGACTTGCAAACACTCCAAATATATTCTTCGTGGTGCTAGCGTCGAAGTCCCATGTGTAACGGTTGAATCCTTTGGCAACTACACTCCAATCTTTACGTCTGTGGATCGACAGTGCGGCAAAGTTTTTGCTCCAATGACCGTTTGGCGAGACTTCAGCAGTGCACCCTTTTATGCATTTCAAAGATGTAACTTTTTCCAGAACGTCAACCGAACCAATGCTGTTTGTATAGTGTTTACCAAGTTTAATGTGACCATTGTTCAAATATGATTTTACGGACGGTTCGTTATAGTCCAATAGACGTAAAAACATTTCGCGTTTGGTAGCTCCATTTGTTGGACTTCCTTTGCGGTGAAAGTAGCTAATATAGGCGTAGGCAGGTAAGATGTCTGCCAGTATTGCCCTGCTATATCCTGGATGCCGACCACCAATGCTGTTTGGTGTGGAATATTTTACAGCTGTTAGTCGAAGTACTTCAAGAGCTTTCCGAAGGTTGGTCTTAGAGTCGGCATCCAACTCAAAACTAGTTCCTTCTAAGAGATATTGAACAAATGCAGCGTTATGAAGGGCTTGAGAGACATGAGAGGGYGCAGAGAAAGAATTGCGATGAAAACTTGTAAAATCGGGCTTWATAACACTACCCAAACCTTTGTTAACTTTCAAAATACTTTTGAACCATTTCTGGAAAGACCTCATGTCTCGCTTTTGTTGTTTTCTGTTTGGATTGATTAGTATTATCATAAGTCTATAGAGAAGAAGCGTAGCCATTCTTTTCGTAGTCCCCCCAGTATATATGTAATGTCCTCTCTTCTGAAAGATCTCATTGAAGTCCGTATACCATTTCATAGTTTTTATGAGATTAGTCAAGCGTTTTTTGTATCTTTTCTTTCTCAATGCGTGCCTTAGCAGGAATAATGAATGCATTATACCTGCACCAGATACGTCTAGCTCTTGGTGTACTGAACCGAGGCCGCTTCCATCTGCCCATCCTTGGTTCTCAATAAAATCCAATAGATTTAAAATTCTTTTAAGTCGTACATCGTTGTTGAAGCGAGAGATAAGCTTTTCAGGCTCCTTGAAGCGTCCYTTCCTGTATGTCGCACAATCTAATGAATCATTCTTTTTGTAGTTTTTTAGAGCCTCTTTAAAAGCCTTCACCATAAACGGGTTAGTTCCCGCTATTGCAATGGTAGCTTGAAGCCTTTTCTTATATTTGAGAGATTCCAGCTTGGTGCAATATCTTCGTGACAGTTCCCGTAGTTCAACTCTTCGATTCATAAGATTGAATTCAAGCGATAGTGGGAGTAAAACCTTATTGAAAATATACCCAAACTTTGTCTTTCCCCTTCCTCCATTCTTGATTCTGTTTTTACCATATTTACAACTCTTTGGAAAAAGATGAGGTCGATTTGCATTAAAGTCGATCTTATCATACAAAGAATGAGCAAATTCTATGTCTTGCTTCAATGAAAACCACCTCCGGTCCTTAATAACCTTGAAAGGCAGTTGTTTTGAAGACGTGTCGTACATTAAGTCAAGTTGGGGCCGAAAACTGAGGGGTTGGTCACTACGTGCGTACCAATTTTGTAGTCTCTTTTCGATACGCTTGATTTCTTTAGCTTTGGTATTTATATTTTCGGCGTCCACATGTGGAAGATTTGCGTCATGAAAACGAAGAGACTGTTCTCTCATGTTTTCTTCTCCGTCGTAAAAAGGCACATCGTTGCGCTGAGATTTTCCGACTTTTCTGAGAACTAAGTCTCGCGTTTGTCTTTTTACTGTAGTTGCGAAACGTACCAGATCAAAGTATATTTCATCGTAGTGCAAAGTAGTGATTTTAAACGTGACTTTGGCAATTTCACCAATTTTAGCAATCTCATCACCAAATTCTTTGTAACCAATCCAAATACTTCGCCATCCCTTGAAATTKAGGTTTACTAAGGTTGGTGATGTTCGGTCGTGTATGCTTTTTCCTCTAAAAATTATCTCCATCTTTGAGTCATTGTGCAATACATTTCTTCGATACATCCACATCTTTAACCCCCCTTTTTTCAACTCTTCGCCTTTGATGTGCAGCGAATCTCGTAGATTGATGTTAAGTCTGGCATATGGACCTCCCTTTGTTTTGTTAGACCATCGCCAAAGGAGGGATTTGCTGCCGCTTTTATGATGCTGCCGAGCGATATAGCAATTAGAGTGCTTTGCTTTGAATGTCCACTTTTCTTGCCCATTTTCAAAGTCGTACTCTGTAAAATACATGTAAAAGACGTAATTAACCAACATATTGTCTCTAATTTTCAAGAAAGTAGGTAAAAAAATAACCAATTTGTTGACCTTCAAACCATATTGGGCATGTACAGAAAAAAATATAAACTCACTAAAACATATGCTATCTATATGTAGAGAATGTAAAACTCATAGAGGGTAATACCGACTCTACCACAAATGACAAATAGGTYTGACTCTTAGAGTGCCCACCACATAGGTCAATTGAATGATGGCGTCAATGATCTACAACTACCCGAATGCCTTGCACATTTTATTTGTTATAAGATTCGGACTTTAATAAGTTTAGAGATTAGAAGAGCAGCTCGCTCTTTATAACAGAATAAATGTGCAAGGAAGTAATTGTAATTTAATGACGTCATCATGCAAATTGGCCATTAGAAAAGAAAAGAACAAATACAAAAAATCTAATTTATGCACATATTTTGATACATATTGTAATTATCGCTCGCATATTTTCAATATTCTTTATGCATGAAAGAAAGAGTTACGGCCTTACCTGGGCCTGTGTATACAGATCTTAATAACCCAGTTAGTAAAATGATTAGCAGCAAAAGAACCATAGCAAGGCGAGGTGGTATCCCTTGACCTAAAACAAGAACAAAAATCAATTGTTGTATTAGATGATACTATAAGTACGTTATACATTTGTGATTGTTATTTTCATAATGAAACAACATTACTTGAAATTTATTCATTGGAGTTTATAAAAAATATCTCCACTCAAGAGCGTGCGATCGAAGTTACGATAATAATAATAATAATATGTTTAATTACAATCCTATCGCAGTGCAATACAAGAGAAAAACACTGAATTACAGGATGTGCGCAACTGTTATAACAACATTTGACAACTAACATTTAACAACTACATTACAGATACTTAACAAGCACAAAATTTTTAAGTCTATCAGTTCTCGTGATATTTTTTCTGTATTTGGAGGTTGTCCTCAACTCGTAAGAATAGCTGATTTCTGTTGTTCTGGATTTAATTAGAMTTCGTACAGGATCATTCACGTTCTCGATGTATCTTKGGCACAAAGATAYTCTGCGCTCTTCCAGAGAAGGCAAATTGAACCTACTGAGTCCATTGTCATAGGACAAACCAGGACTTATGATTGATAGGGCGCGTTTTTGTACTTTTTCCACAAGGGCAGAGAGATGTTTAGGGATGCTGGAAAAAATAACCGAACCATATTCAAGAACAGATCTAATAAGTGTGCAGTATATGGAGACAAGATCTTTGGGATTGACACCACTCTTTCTCAGTTGGCGGAGTGCATACATCAATTACAAAATCTCAGAAGGTCTTATACAATGAACGAAAAAGAACACTAAGTTTGAAAAGATGAAATGATGGTAAGAACTGCAGTGAGTAAATTTGTAAGTAGTAATTATAATTATTCCTTACATAAATTCGAAAGACAGGAATTCTATTTAAATTTGTATTGATCTAAGTAGATTCTTGTAGATTCATTGAAAGTACTTGGTTTGATGTACTGCAACCAAAACCAGTTTGAAGTTGAAAGATTTCAATCGATGCAATGAGCGTTTATTTTMAAAGGCTCATTTATGATCTTTTTGTTCTTAAGACCATTTATGATCTTCTTTACTTATCGGTCCTTATTGCAAGGATTTAGAAAGCTAAATTTTCMAATTCAGTGAATTCAAGAAAAATCTATTCATAGTAACTGACGTTAAATAGTGTAAGATAAGCGCACTTCTTTTAAAATAAGCTTTTTCTAAGCTAATATTTGATATATATGTAGAGCTATCCAAATCATAAAAAAATATATTTGCGTTCCGAGCTTGTTAAACACTGCTGAAATATTTACAAATYTTTTTATTGAAGATAATGTTACCTTTTCACGGATAATCTTCAGTAGACTTGATTAACTGTCCTGAGTCTTGAAACAAACTAGGGTCACACCTTTGTGTATATCAATTGAAAAATATAATTTATCTAGTTATGCCCCTTCTTAACGCCAAGGTACACTGCATATCAAAAACCGTTATATTTGATATTTTGACAATCAAAGATCAACAAAGAAAAAATGTACCAGATTGTTGTTGACGTTGACCAATTAGATTGGAATATAAGATGTAAGATAGCAATGTTTGCTAATTTAACAGGTTACATTGAAAGGTTGTTAACACGAGAAATAAACAGCTTAAAGATACAACCAGAATGTTATTACAGAAAGGAACGTAAACTTCATGGTCTTCGACACGTATCCATAATATCAAATCCTCCAATGACCCCACAACTTAATATATCTATTGGGAAACCAAGTTGATTACTGCTCATGCTCAGATGGTCGATATCTTCATCAATTATTCATTTTTGATATTTTTTATTTATTTCATGTTAAACTAAAATATTGTAGTTTCTTAGTTTGGGTTTTAGAAGTCATTTTTTAAAAAAACTTGTAGTTCGTGTTTTCTCGTGGATATAAACACTCCTACTTATTTTTCAAATATCACATAGCCTACTTAGGGGATTATAGATCATGATTGCCAGTTAATGTCCATTCAAATCATAATAGTAACAACAAACAATGATATATATGTAGTAAGAAGATACGCGAGTTTGGGCCTTAATGAGCAGTTTATTATCATACTGTATATATGGGTCACACAATAATACTTAGGGGATTATAGATCATGATTGCCAGTAAAATCTAGATTAAGTGGATGACGTCAAAGAATAGATAAGTTTTTATTTTGTAAAATGTAAAAGCCTTGATTGACGCGGGAATGAACGTCTTCTCAAAATAAAATCAATTGACGACGTCCACTTACGACGCGAGGTGCAAATATACAAAGCTGTTTTCCAGCGTCACTGCAGACACCGCGGAGCATAACTTGTTTATTAGAGAGGTTTAGCATGACGTTCACGGCAAACGCCAAACGGCAGAAAAGATCATGTGACCTGCTTTTTTGAGTTTAACGTTGCAGTTTCAACGCGAGAGCGGGTTATTTTGAAATAAACCATAATCGTGAAAAACCGCTYTTTCAAATGACTACCAAAAGTACAAGGTCGGGCACGAAATTCTTAGGTCATTGGTTCAGCTCTGCCGTTAGCCGTTAGCCGTTTGCCGTCAACGTGATGCTAAAACCCTCTAATTGTGTCGGGACGGGACAACTGTCGTAAGCCCACCAAAGSCCCCACGGCTCCGCGGTGCATGCACTGATCAACATTGAGTATATTGAGTACAAGTCTCATTCTCTCGTTGAGAATGAAAGACAGAAATACTGCTATAACTCAGAAAACAAAACAGTATATA